GAGGCGGTTGTCTGTCAGTCCTCTTGTAATGTCACTGTGGAGGATTATAATCACATGTCTTATGTAATGCCACAAACCTGGCCCTGCGATAAGGTGAAGAAGTGTAATACATATCAAAACCTGTTCCCATTGACATTAAAACAGCCTAATTTACAAAATAAGTATTCTATGTGCAATTTATATTCAGACTTAACAATCCACAAAAGTCCTCACAGGAAAAATACGGATATAATGCTTTCCTGCAATTCTTTAACCATTTCAGTTTTTCGTTTGTTGCTGCTGGTCTCTTAAACTTATTTTATGAGACATCGTTTTGGGCCTCTGTGACTTGTACCTTTAGACTAAATCTCCTAAAACAAAAGCCCCTCTCATCAAAAGAGTATCAAATTGATCAATTAAAATTACCCTAAATTACAGTGAAAAGGAGGGGGGGAAAGAGACGCAACATATCCACTGTTGTTTTTATAAATTTGTGAAAGTTTATGAATACAAAGTACAACTGAGAAAAATAACTCTACCCTTGGACGCAAGGGTTATCAGAAAGCAAAGATATCTAAATTTGAACCGTGGATATTTTTGAAATGTCTGTGGAAATAGTTCCACGAAAGGAAGTAGTGTTTGGATTATTAATATTAGGCTTCCTTTTAATTGAGTTAATGATTCATAAACTTCCCCTAAACGCCTAATGTGGCAAATATTTATGTATGCATACTATACATTATGGGGAAGTATTTATCTCAGCAAATGTGCCTAAAAGCCTATATGACTATATTTCAGTTAGTCAATGAAACGGTGAATAATGTATGAACGAGTGCTTCAGGTTTTGGATCAGACGTTGGCTTCCTTTTATCCGAGGCTGTATTTGGTTATTAACCTCGGGGCGTTTTATGTCAATAAGCCCGGGCAGTCCTGTGGAGACGCTCTGTTCTCCTGTAAACAGCGCTAATAACGCAATTAGCTTTTAAAATACGAGGGCATCGTGTCATCCATACTGTTTTACAGATTAACCTCAGACGGCCTTTATCTCACAAAGAGGTCACAGACATTCTAATTCATCACAAGCAGCTAAGAGGCGTGTGGCGCAGTGGACTAGTGTGCTGGTGTTCGGAGCAGGGCAGCACAGGTTCAAACCCCACTGCAGTCAGCATGTCGTTGTTTCACTGGGCAAAACACTTCACCCCAAATTGCTCCTGTGGGGATTGTCCGCCATATTGAGTATGTACGTCGCTTTGGATGAAAGCGTCTAACAAGTAAGGTGGAGTCTGGCAACACTAAGGCATACATTAAATCCACATTTGTCTAGCCTAGAGAAATATTATTATACATTTTAGGACAAGTATATTAAGGATCACATGTTCAGAATATTTGGTGCCAAACAACATGGGATGAGTGGATGAGTGTTGGTTTGGTTAATCTGATTCTCTTGACAGTACATACATCATTTTACTCACAATTCAGCAGCAACAATCTGAAATAATCTTGATCATTATGTTGATAAGACAGTAGATCAGGGGTACTCAAACTTTTTTGTTAAAGGTCCACTTGTGAATTTTATACAAGGTCAATGGTCCGGATCAATGCCAGTAAAGTCCCCCCACCCCTGGAGCGGAGCAACGAAACTGAAATTAAAAGAAGCAGTTTCGCCGCGCTATGCATGGGGTTTCCCCGACATGTCGTTGCAGAAAATTAAAGGGCGTTTCATGTTGTTGTGGACCTTAATCTTTTTTATTTTGAAATTGTTACGTTTATTCTAGTTTGTATTTTAAATTTATTTGATGTTTTGTGAGCTGAGCTGTGTGATTTTATATGTTATGTATCTCTCTCTGTACAGCACTTTGGTCTGGAGGTTTTAAAGTGCTATATAAATAAAGTTGGATTGGATTAATTTACTTTATTTGGGGGCCAGCCAGCCAGCCAGCCAGCCAGCCAGCCACACACACACACACGGCTTGAACTAGTGGGAGAAATGGCACTGTTTGTCTGTAGCCAATGCCTTGAACCTCGGCAAAAATTGCATTAGAAGCATTAGAAAGTCAAGGTAAACTTGCGGTTAACTTGCGGTCTGCAATGCGTGTCACGCTCGCGCACACAAGTAAATATATATGCACGTTCATTCTCACAACGCGTCAGACACAAGAAAATNTCTCTGAGTCCTGACTCCATCAAAGCTCCAGCTCTCCTCGTGTCTCTCTGAGTCCTGACTCCATCAGAGCTCCAGCTCTCCTCGTGTCTCTGAGTCCTGACTCCATCAGAGCTCCAGCTCTCCTCGTGTCTCTCTGAGTCCTGACTCCATCAAAGCTCCAGCTCTCCTCGTGTCTCTGAGTCCTGACTCCATCAAAGCTCCAGCTCTCCTCGTGTCTCTCTGAGTCCTGACTCCAATTGCTTCAGAAGTTTCCCCCACAGAAACACACACAGATACAAAAAAGAAATAAGAGACAAAAGCCCTTCTATTGCCATTTTAATGTTTGTTTGCAAGCATTCCAACTCATAAAATATCACTATGCACATGGTTTTTTTATCCTTACATTTCATCTAAGTTTGTCCTTTCCCGACCATGTGTCTATATAAAAAGACGATATTATATAAAGGATGAAACCTGTTAAGAAACTCTTTTTTTGGCCTCTATGGTTTCTCCTTTATCGTTGATTACAGATAACATTTCTGAGATAAATACATGACGAAAGACAGATATCCGTGAATTAATACTGAGGGTCTCCATCGTGTGATAAGGATTTATTTTGCTCCAGTGAACCCGTGAAAAACACCCTTTCCTGACGGTTTAATGGATTAAGAGAATTATCATTGATAGATTGGAGCAGTGGGATTTTCCCGTGTGATTTTGGATTACTCCGCTCACCAGTTCATGGATTATTCCCATTAACGGCTAAGACCTTCTGCAGCCCAGCAACCGCATTGCATGGTGTCCATATTTTATATTCATGAGATGTGCTAGAAGGAATAAGGAAAAACAAAACGGTAAGAGGAATGAGCAGGAACCAATTAACCCCCCCTCCCCCAATTCATGCTTCAAAGCACCACCAGTCACTATAGAAAGTAAAGCATATGGATGGATGTGCACATCAGTGAGAGCTGTCCAATTGTTTGTGTCGGAAGGAGCAGTAGGGTGAGTGTCCTACAGGCAGGGGCTTTTGGGCCCCATGAAAAGATATCACATTGGTTACTTACATTTTTTTTTCTTAATGTTCTAAAATAGTTTCACCCCCTTACGGCGCCCCTGCCTACAGGGGGCGATGCATTGGCTGCACAAATAGGTGAAAAAAATGACCTTGCGTCTGACTTGATTTATAACCTTTGGTAACATTGGATACTAATCCCACCTTTATGCTTTTCTTAACCATTTTTATTACAGAACTAGAGAGCAGTAGGCTAAATGTCGTGAAAATATGTAGGATTGCACAGAAGTCTATGAGAAAATTACCCTATCATTCTCACTTGATTCATAACCTCCTCAATATACCACGTAGGAGTTATATTTAAAGGGGACCTATCATGCAAAATGTCTTTTACACATAAAGGTGTGTCCCCGGTGCGTCGGGGAACTCACGCAGCGTCAGAAAATAAAACCCTATCTCTTTTCCTCCGTACCCAAATCTTTTAAAAACAGGGGTACAGCGAGCGGATACAGATTCCATCCGATCTGACGTCAAATCGGCAGCGGACCCACAGAAAGTTGNAATTAAAGGGCGTTTCATGTTGTTGTGGACCTTAATCTTTTTTATTTTGAAATTGTTACGTTTATTCTAGTTTGTATTTTAAATTTATTTAATGTTTTGTGAGCTGAGCTGTGTGATTTTATATGTTATGTATCTCTCTCTGTACAGCACTTTGGTCTGGAGGTTTTAAAGTGCTATATAAATAAAGTTGGATTGGATTAATTACTTATTGGGACACACACACACACACACACACGGCTTGAACTAGTGGGAGAAATGGCACTGTTTGTCTGTAGCCAATGCCTTGAACCTCGGCAAAAATTGAATTAGAAAGTCAAGGTAAACTTGCGGTTAACTTGCGGTCTGCAATGCGTGTCACGCTCGCGCACACAAGTAAATATATATGCACGTTCATTCTCACAACGCGTCAGACACAAGAAAATATACATTAAAGGGGACCTATCATGCAAAATGCACTTTGTGATGTCTTTTATACATGAATACGTGTCCCCGGTACGTCGGGGAACTCACGCAACGTCAGAAAATGAAACCCTCTCTCTTTTCCTCCGTATCTTTTAAAAACAGGGGTACAACGAACGGATACAGATTTGCTGCCGATCTGACGTCAAATCGGCTGCGGACCCACAGAAAATTGCTATCAGAAACAATGCCTGACGTGTTTTGGACGTAATCTCATCTTTGTTTACATTAGCAAGCCTCGCTAACACTCAGAGCTAACCTGTACCGTAGCAGATGTGTTTAAAAAGCAGGAAATACAAAAAGGAACTCACCTTGTGATAAACCCGCAAGAGAAAAAGCATTTGAGCTCCATACTGTTTCAGAAATAATCTTTGATGTGGTTTAGAACAGGATGGCGTTTTATCACAGCAGAATTTAACATTATCTCCGGTAGAATTCTGATCAGGCAGTAGCTCCGCCTCCTTTTTTTTCTTTCAAGCTAAGGACCCAAAATCCGCGTTTCTCTAACAGGGCAGCAAAAGAGGGGTATGAGCAGCATGAGGCATGGCAACAAGGGGTGAACTGTTTGGTATTTTAAGCAAAAAACTTCAGACATGTTTGGCATAGGTATGGCCCTACAATATATTTTTCCAATATAGCATAATAGGTCCACTTTAATTTACATCAGAATCAGAATTATTATTATTTTTTTAATAATTCAGTGTTTGAAATATCGCAGTGAGCAATATTAGCTTTTTCCTCCAGCCCACCACACCATGAAGAACAGCGAGCACTCTGTGTGGGGAGATTCTTATTGGTACAATAACGCCAGTCATGTGGATCCACTCAACAGAAGCCTGTAGAAAAAAAAACATGTAATCTGTCCTGAATGGACATCTCCGAGGGTATGTGAGACATTAGCCCTGGCCTGACGTTACACATCAGATCACTCTGTTACGGGAATTTCTGCAAAGATTTGTCTTGGGCGAGCTTTTACCATCCCAACCACGAAGCCGCGTGTTCCGATTTAATCTTCCGCATCGGAAATGGTGAGGACACTGAAGTATAAACTTGGCATGTATACCTGCTTATTGACTTGTTGTTGTTGTTGTTAACAACTGTAATTGAAAATATATTATGTGTGTATCCCTGATATGCAATACTGTTGTTGTATTTTAAATGTCAGCCAATATTAAGTCATAACTTCCTCGAGGGTATTTGACAAGCTGCCAGGTTTCACAGAATCAGATGAAAAGAAAAGCGTGGGAGGAATTTTTCCTCACGCAAAAAGAACATTCGTTTTCATTCAGCCACAAAGCAAAACCCTTTTCTTTCAGCTTTCCTGTAGAAACGGAGTAAAAATTGTTTTTTTTGCTGTTGATCTTTAAAGTGGATTAAGGCATGTGCAAACACAAACTGAAGACCCAACACCATGAGCTCCTTTACAATATCTGCAGCCGTTTTAATGATCAGCAGTTCATGTAAGTCATTCATGTCTTTCTTTCTATTGATGTGCCCCTCCTAAATTTGAAAGATAACGTATTCTTTCTTCCATCTTTGTGTCCATTTTCAAAGGGGTCATTATGTTTCTACTCTGCTCCGTTCCACTGAAAGCCCAGCTGGGGACTACCCCCAACATTAAACACATCGTGGTGGGACGGTGTTTCAATTACATCACACTAGTTAACCCCACTCTAAGGTAATGTAAAGTACAAAGACTCATATTGTATTTCTAATCATTTATGGGACTTGAATTAAATGACCTTTTGACCGAAGCCTTTAAAACATGAAAGACCTTCCAAAGCTTCTATGTTGGTATAAAGTCAGTACAAATAATCAATCCTGCATCAAAGCCCACATGAAGGGCAGCAACACTTGTTTTGATGTGATGTTGAATGATGCTTCTGTAGAAAGAAATGCGAAAAGACGTTTCATTTCATTGGAAATGTGAGCTTATGCAACAAAGCTGGGTTTGTTGTTGTTAGGTCAGGTCATATTTACTTAATTTTCTTGGGAAAATGCTTTTGTCATTTGATCTGTAGTTTCAGTTATTGCTTCTTTGGATTACAAAAGGTGCAGTGTTTTGCTGTCGATTTTGAAATGTCATTCAATTTAGTCAAGAACACATTACGGCTTTCTTTGGAAGTTGATTGAAACATAGCGATGATTTGCGTAGCAATGACGCCCCCAAGGGCTGCGGAAAAAAAAAATCTTCCCAATGAATCCATATAACATATCTAAAAAAATTAGAGAAACTTCATATTAAAAAGATAAAAGAACAACATTTGCCACTCTCTGCTTTATAAACTAAGTGTAACAATTTGTCAACTACTATTTTGAAATATTTGCAGATTAAGCTTTTGTCATTTGAGATAGTTGACTAATCTGTATGTGTAGGTTGGACTGTGAGGAGATCTGGAGACAGTTTGAGGAGGCGGTTGTCCGTCAGTCCTCTTGTAATGTCACTGTGGAGGATTATAATCACATGTTCTATGCAATGGCACAAACCTGGCCCTGCGATAGGGTAAAGAAGTGCTCCAAAATTGAATTAATCTTGATAATTTTTCATTGATACCTCATGAGATGGCGGATATTTGTGTTAAGCTGATTGTATAGTTCCCTTTTCTTCTGTTTAGTTCCTCTTCTGGAGTAAAACCAGGACACTGATGCACATCTACGCAGCTGTTGTCCCTCACTACTGGACCCTGGAGGACACGCTGGTTGGCTACATGTTCAATGACCTGATCTGGTGTGGACAAGAGGAAGACTCCGGTAAACCTGTTCTAGTTTTATCAAGACAAAGGCAGCTCTAACATAACAAGAAAAGTTATTTACAAATACCAACATTTTAACACACCCTGAAAACTCTGCTATAACTTAATCATAATCCAACATTTCCTGTTCCCTAAAGTGCAGAACTTGAAAATACTATGATATTATTATAGCTGCTCTAAGCTATACTTTTATATTAAAATAATGTGTCAAATTAAGACATGAACTGTCAGGGGTCACTCACAATAACAATTACTCTGCTTCCCCTCAGCTTTAAAGAGCCTATTAGTGTCTTTCAGCTCATTGTTTTGGTTTTACAACATGCACCGTTAGAGAAACTTTAGTGCAAAATATCTAAAAACCCAGTGTACAGTACCTACTCAGCAGCAAAACACACAAACAAAGTAAGCAAATAGCTGGTGACACATTGAAGCATTTAGCCCCCTAACAAGTCATATATTTCCCTCAGGAGATGGTAGAGACCAAACACAGAGCTAAAAGAGAGGGAACATTGGACTTAAATGTATGAATAACAGCTTTTCTTGCGTTTGTAAAAAAGCTATGATTTGCTAACAAGTTTGCCATTTCAACTTAAGAGTTAAAAATGTGTCGGTGTTTAAACATTTCTTCTACCAGTTTGCCAAAAACTCAGCTAATGCATCTTTAAAATTGTTAGCATTTTATTTGTACCGAAACTATAACTGATATACAACTGTGTTTCCTTAACCATACTTTAAAAATATTATTAGCATAAAAACTGTATTTATTTTAACTTTTTTTAGATCTGAAACAGATCATTTGGTAGCACCAAGATTCAAATATAACCTCATCGTTCAGGTTCAAAATTGTTTCCTCATGCTTTTATTTTAGTAGTAGTGCTAAGTGATTAACCATGTGGTGGCATGTCAAAACAACACATACAGGTCTTATTAATTAGTCATATCTTATTTTGAAATGGTTAAGGTGGTGATGCATTTTTAAGCTGATGGCTGTGAATTTGACACACAGGTTTTGATTTCAGTTCTTGTCCGGAGTGGTCGGCCTGTAGGAATCATCCAGTGTATTCCTTGTGGAGGCAAGCCTCACAAAATGTGAGTGTAATGTCAAAACTACCGGAGTGTAGCCGCGTCATTTGTTATTCATATATGCAACATACCGCAGTGGATTCATTTCTCTCATGCAGCTTTCTTCACTCGCTTGTTAGTTTGCAGAAATGGCATGTGGAAACATCACCGTGTTACTGAATGGGTCTATTGTCAACGCGTTCAGTAGGAAAAGGTAAAAAGAAACAATGAAGCAAATATATTAGCACCGTTTTTTTTTATGAGTCCGAATAATAATGTTTTTTTTCTCTTGCAGCATGTTTGGGAGTGTTGAACTGGATAGTCTGAACGCATGCCGGGTGGATTACGTTAACATAAAAGTGGTGACCAATCTAGATGGACCTTTTATGTAAGAAAGAAAAAAAGCTGATTCTATCTAGTTTCTATCTAATAATATAAAATAATGAATAATATAAAAGTTACTAAGTTACAGCAAGACCACTTTCCAATAGGTCACCCTTTATCAAATGTTTGTAAATTGTAATTTATGACTAACTAGGTCATTTCAAGAGCAATGTTTGTCTGTTCTCTTTAAAATAAACGTACACATATCTATAAATAGATTTCCAATATCCATACATTCACTATCTTGAACAACTTGGATCTTAACCAAAGATAAATAAAACAATTAATCATTCTCAGTCATTCTTATTTAATGGTTTATAATCAGTCATAAAGTATCATTATCAGCCATTAAGTTCCCCATTAATTACAGATTTATAGTGACTAATAATAGGGTGGTTAATATTTATATGGACAGATTAAGTTCCTTGTTTTTCTCCTGTGCAGAGAGTCATGTAGTGAAGGATCCATTGTAGACCTGATCCAGATCCTCCAGTCCAGAGGGTTCCGCTGGACTTGCACAGACAACGAGGAGTAAGTGACATACAAATAGTGCTTCAAATTAAATAACCAAATATGTTGCAATACGACACATACACACAGATGTATAGACAAACAGAGGTGGATCTATATATGACTCACATACAGATGTTCTTTTTGGCTTGATAACCAACTTCCTGATGCGATCCTGGGGTAACACAAATCACATTTGTCCACAGGACCCTGATGATCCTTCAGTGTATCAAGAACCCCAAACAAGCCTCCTGCCAAACATGTGCGAACAGCCTCTCGCGGATAAAGAGCCTCACATTAACCTGACCCCAGAGAGTCAGCATGTATTATGATATTGTTAAATGTTAAAGATTGACTGTTCTCTTACTTCCATTCACTTTTCATTGATCCCATTTGATTAGGAGATGACATCAGCAAAACTGAAAAACAGCACTCAAGCTAAATATCAGCCAACATGATAATGCCCTCAATGTGGGATATTGTTACCTTCAATCAGAGGAACAGTAGAAGATGTACTCAAATATTAACTTAAGTAAAAGCAGCAATACTAGAGTGTAAAATTACTCAACTACGAGTACAAATCTAGAGTATTAGCATCAAAATATACTTAATGCACCAAAAGTACAATTCATAGTTATGCAGAAAGGTCCTTTTAGGCAACATATATTTGTATTTGTTATATTATAATTATTGATTCAATAATATCAGTATTAAGTCAACTTGGTAAAGAAGGGGGTAATTTTAATTACTTTATAGTATTCTGTATAGCTAAACCTATAATAATATATGATAATTAAATAGGGTATTTATATGTTGTATTGATAAACTAAATCAGGACAGTAACTTATAAATAATAATAAATGTAGTGGAGTAAAAGTAGCATAAAATGAAAATACTCAAGTAAAGTACAAATAACTACATTTTGTACCCGACTGTATGCAGTTACATTTTGCCTTGAGCCTGAAAACTGTTTATCATGTCATGTCATGCAATGTGTGTCATGCTATCTGTGTTTATGGGATCAAAGGTCACTAAGGCCACACTGCCCTCTTAACCTGAGTTGCAAGTATTTAGATTACTTTGTTAAATTTGAGCTGAACCACCTGTCTCGGACACACCTAAATGCAGATTGCAACAGGTAGAGATTTGCTCTTTTAGATTTCTCATTAGTTAAATCCTGTTTGGTTCTGTCAAAACATGCATTTCCATGGCTGATTTTAACTTTAGCCAATAACATTCTCATCACTATCAGTGAGTAGCAAAACAAATAGTTTGATTCAATTCAAGTATCATATTCAACCTTTTGCTTAAAAAAAACAAATGCAAATGCATTAGCATCATACGTAATATACTCATCATAACAAAGTAAAGTTGGTCATTATGCAGCATTTTGCATTTAGAATAATGTATATTATATCACTGGATAATAATTATAAATGAATTAATGTGTAAATCAATTGCTGTTGCTAAAATATCTTTTTTTGTACTTGTAGATGTACTGCTCGGTAGCTTGTGATCTCCCCTCGTGTTCAATAAAGTCTTTTTTTACTTTAAAAAAAAAAAATCATACATCATCCTTTCTTTGTTTATTATATTTTGTATTATTTGTATTGGAACCAGCACAAATGGTTACTTGTAACTTTGTCAAATGTAAAGTGGATTTAAAAGTTTGCCTTTGAAATGAAATGGAATGCCAACAAATCAGGTATGAATATATTAGATTCTAACATGCAATTGATTTATGGCTCAAGCTGATAAAAGATTAGCGATCCACTAAATAATAAGCTCATGTTTTTGGATAATCAAGTCACACACATCCTGTAAAAGAGACAAAGAACCTGTTTACTGGAACGGTTAACCTTTAAGTTTGGCTTCAGGTGCGTGGCATTTCCCAACATGTTTCCCAAATGACAGCTGACCTGACCTTTGAGTTCTTCCAGCCGCTGATTAGCTTTTAATGGCAGGAACTCCATGTTATTGTAACAACTCCTTATAAATGTTTGCCGCAAACATGTGAATGGTCCAGACTTGTTAATGCTTGCACCGTTTCGGCTTTTTTTAATTAAGTACAGCCAGGTAGAAGTTCCCTGTACCCGAAGCGGTTGCTACTGGATTGCTGAGGAGAGAAGTTCAATAATTAATTATTTGTGCATAATATGTATCTTGTTGAGGTCTGCAACTTTTTTTTGGGAGGGNNNNATTTCTGTAGAAGAAACTGTGTGGACCTTGTGGGGACTTTCTTTTTTATATAGAAAAAATAATTGAACATTGCCTGTATAACTTACACATACAAATATAAATGATTATTATTTTTTGACTGGTGGTGTACAATGAGTTAGGCGGAGTCGGAAGACGATTATTTCTAGTTTCATATTTTATTTATTTAAATATTTCTTAATATATCAGTTTTCTTTACCCAAGTAGTTATTACAAAAAAACCTTGATACAGCCCTGAATCTGCAAAGTAACTATACCTAACCTAACAAGTACATCAAATATAGGTGAAATAGGAATGTACCATGTATCTCAAATATACACTAAGGTAGGCACACACAAGTTCAGTAAATGTACATGGGCCTAGTTACAGAGGGGAAGTAACTAAGTACAAATACTCAAGTACTTTACTTGAGTATTTCCATTGTATGCTTCTTTGTACTTATATTCCACGGCAATTCAGAGGTGTATTTTTACTCCACTACATTTATTTTAAACCTTTAGTTACTTTACAGATTTTGATTAATGATGTGAAATATAATCAAAAGTTAAATCAGACTTTAGTTACACCTGGAGTAAATTCACAAGCACCCTGCAGTATACAAACACTGTAAAATGTTTGGCTGTAAAATTACTGGCTACTAGTTGCATGGATTTCACAGTAATTTACTATAAATATTTCACAGTAATTAACTGTAAATATTTCACAGTAATTTACTATAGATATTTACAGAAATACAACTAATGTGTTGTGTTATATTAGCTGTACAATTTACCACATCTGGTGTTCTTAGTTTCCATACCTCCTGTGTTTTACGAGCAACTTATCAAGTATTGGCAAACGGCATAAAACGCGATTAAACATATAAAACCATGCTTGTATCTACAACCTATAGAAATGCAAAACGGCGTCAGTTTAGACGTAATTCTGTCCTCCTGCTTACCGCATCATTTATGAGAAAACATTTCATAACATTAACACAACATATTCGAGGTGGTTTTAAATAACATATCCGTATTTATTTATTTCTCCAATTTATGTTTTTGTGTGCACTGAGGAGTCTCAAACAGGCGTTTGTTAAATCATTTTAAGACTGGCTTTGATCAATGTTTGAAAAAATAATTCATATATGATAAATGAGAGGTAACATTTTATTTATGGTATTATTTCCACATATTTCTCTCCATTCTTCCTTCTGCCAACGGTGTCGCAGTTTCTCGTCTCTCCCGTTTTTGTGCTTAGTGCGTACGCATGGGTTAGAGTTTGCGTGGAGGACCGCACGTTTTCCCGTCAAGTTAGTATTTTATAAATCGCAAACATTGCGTAGAAACTGCCGTACGCCATTTTTTGAGCGTATATCCCTTTATAAATGAGGCCCCAGGAAGCACCTGAAAACAATAAGCCAAGACAACAATTTCAATTTTACATAGATTTATATGTTGCATAGTTTATTTTAAGGCACCTGCAGCGGTGCCCCTTTCAATTTAAGTAAAACCTGCACCAAAGAAATAAATTAGTATTTAAAGCCAAGCAAGAGCGATAAAAGCAAGAAAATCCCTTAATTTGTTGTGTTATCACAGAGCATGGTCTGAATACAGCATTTTACTGTGAAATAATACAGTAACATGTTGTGAAATCCTGGTAATCATTTATCCTGTACATTCACAGTAATGAACTGTGCCTGCATTGATTTCACTGTGAAATTCAAAATTACAGTATTATATTGTGAACATCACAGTTAAAGACTGTAAAGTGGTAAAACAGTAATTTATTGTAAAATACTACAGCTAAATATTGTGAAATCATGGTCATATTTTACAGTGAAGTCATTAAAAATAGCTGCACCTTTGATAACACTTCAATGCATCAATAATTATAAAAATGTATCATGTATGTTCTGAAAAGGACCAATCTGCAGAGTGAGTACTTTTACTTTTGGTACTTTAAGTATATTTTGATACTAATACTTTTGTACTTTTACTTGAGTATGTTTTGAATGCAGGACTTTTAATCATAACAGAGTATACACTCTGGTACTTCTACTTTTACTCAAGTACACTATCTGAGTACTTGTTCCACCTCTGCATAGTTACTCACATCTACTGCTTAACGGTCTCGCTGTGGTCCTCGGACCTCAGGTTGGGCAGCTCCACCCAAACAGCACAGGTTCCTGATTGGAGCAGATGACCACGAGCCACCGTGAGTGCGCTCCTCTATAAATAGACGGCGGAACGCTCGCAGTGTCTCAGTGAAAACAAACAACATTCATCAGGCAGCCAAACTTTCGTCTTGGGGTTGAACTGTAACAGCCTTTAATGGAGCACAGAGAGTATCGTCTTCCGGAGAAGAGACGCAGGAGCCGCTGTATTATTTTAAGTGTCGTCGCTCTCCTGCTCCTGCTTATTATCGTTGCCGTTGTGTTGGGACTCAGTCTGCGGCAGAATACAGACAATCTAAAACCCACATTCATTGCAAGGTGTCAGGAGTTCAAAGGGTAAGCGTTTTTAAAACTCAATGTACAGAATATAAAGTAGGCTCAAAGTTAAACTGGGATTCCTCACATAACTGGTAATTCAATTTGGAATGCAATGAAATGGTAAATATTTGATGCAGTAAGCATTTGCACTAAATTCACAGTTTATTTTGTACACTTAGCCAGTGCAGCCTATTACACCTGCAATAAGCATTTTCAGCTAATTGTATCGTTTTTTTTTGTGATGCTTTTGATCTGTAATGCATTACTCAGAAAGCTATTCTGTTATTTACCCTTATTCCTATGAATGGGATACACAAACTAATAAAAACAACTGGCAATAAATCGCCTGTATAATGCATGCATTACAGATTCAAAACCACAAACTACACCTCAAAATTATAAACTCAATGAAGATCGTATTTCTTACCGTAGTAGGCCTAATTATGTATTAGGCGTAAAGGCTTCATTTATTTTAGCTATGTATAAAGTTAGTAGTTTATAAGATGCCCATTATTTGTTTGAATCAACAAATGGAATTGCATGGCAAAAACACAAGACATAATCAAGAAAAAGTATCAATACCTCTGTGATTATTTAGTCTAGGAAAGAATTCAATTTTTCCGTTGCTCTACTGTCCATTTTAGTGTTTACCTCCAAACCGTATGAATCCTGATTCCTAAATGTGTTTAATTGACTGTATTGATATGATCGGAAAAACTATGTATGTATTTTTTTAACTGTTTAACACGTTAAAATGCAGAGACATTTTAAAAATGCAGAAATAGTGATTTCATGAATGAGAGTTACAGTGTGTACGTGTTAGCTTATAATCTTAAGGAATATTGGCAAATACTGAAGATTCACATTAATGTTTAGAAAGAGGGAGAGGTGAGGAATATTAAGTGCTCACGATGAGAGAAAGTAAATGAAACGCTAAATATGGAGTAAAGGTTCAGTAGTCATTGACTCACCTACTGCACATTGTTTGTATCTGACCAGTGTAAATACAGCTGATGAAAATGATATGTAGCGTCTGTCTTATCAACTGTAATTGAGCTAATCTTGACTGTAAATATGAATTAATCATACTGTGTTGGCTGCTTTTCAACCATGATAGTTCCTTCACAATGATAGCAATTTATAAAGCACTTATTAAAACACAAGTGACAAAGTGCTTCAGAAAGCACACTCAAATAAAACATGAATAGAACGCTCATCCACACTGTCTTTTATTTTTCAGGTACGACTGTGAAAAGATGTGGGATGTATTTGAGCAAGCCTATGTAGGCCGGGACCCTTGTGATGTTCCCATGGAAGCCTATGACCCTTTCATTGCCGCCGCCCCCTTGAAACCTGCCTGCAACAGAGTAAAAACCCCTCTTAACAGAACGGTCAGTATGTGTGCCCATTATACCCTCAACCCCTCTTGGTAACACGTGTGTGTGTTTGGGTTATAGATGATGTTCTGGAGTAAAACCAAGGACCTTGTCCATGACTTCACGGAGAAGAGAGATTGTTACGTCACCGTGGAGGACTCTCTGCTGGGGTCTGTGCTGGACGGTATCACCTGGTGTGGAAAGGAGGGCAGCAGTGGTAAGATTCTTTGTGCAAAAGACAACCTCATAACTGTGTAATTTAGTCGCGTTATGCGATTATTTGCTTAATAAATTAAACAATAAAGAGCTGAGAAAAAAGGAGCTTCAGTGTCTTAACGATGATGTTCTATTTCACATCTTAAAACCAGTTTTTTAACTTCACTTAAGTAAGAAACGCCCTACTGTACAAACCTGTATGTCAAATGCCAGAGGTGTTATTTATGTTATGCCTATTTATTTTAACACGGGTATCATAGTCATTTCAAGTTTTCTGAGAAGACAAGGAATAAGTAACAAGGTTCACATTTCATGTTGTAGTACTATAAATATCATCAAATTAAATTGCAGTTTTCAGTTTACACACATGTCTCTCCAAAATGAATCCTTCATTTGATCCTCCTAGACATTTGTCTTAAAACAACATTCTTATCAATTAATCCTTGAGTCCAAGTGGACATTTGTGCGAAAGTTGAAGGAAATTCTATGGGGGACATTTTTAGAAAATAAATTGTTTTCTATTGCTTTACTATGTTTTGTTTATGTTTGGATCACTTGTTTTCTTTCTCAGTGTGGGTCCTGAAGTTTTCCGTTTTTTTTCCAATGCAGCTCATCAAAGCACATTCTTGTAATTGAAATGCAAAAAGGAATGACTGACTGTGTGTGTGTTGTTCTAGAAACATTCACTACCGGCTGCCCAGGGTGGACAGACTGTGTGAACAACACTGTTCGCTCATTTTGGAACAGAGTCTCAACTGCTGTGAGTTATCAACAAGATTTCACTAGTTTTGCCAAAAATACAACAGTTGTTGGATACAGCATGATTGAAATGACCCATTTTAATCGAAGGTGGCGCATGAGGTGAAATCTCTCCTGTGAATGAATGAGGTTGATATAGAGGAGAAAAGTAAAAGGTCACTCAGCCTGGTTTTAATCAATGAGGCTTTGTGGCCGTCTCCATGGAGTCACATTGTGTAGCTCTCTCCTGAGCGAGCAGTGTCCACCCACACATTCAGCAGAGGCCCTCTTTATCTTTGCCTGGGTTTTATTCTGTGATTAAAACACCCACACTAAAATACACGTTTCTTAATATTCACCTAAACAAACTACTAAAAAAAACCTTATTGATCCAATCACATATAAAAACATTGACTTGCAGGAACACAACATCTTTTTTTAAAGGGTTTAATCTAGACAAGCTGAAATGGATTCAATTCAACCAGGACACATGAAAAACATGGAACTAAAGAAGCACTTTGTTGGATTACATAGATTAAAATAAATTACAAATAAATATATAAGCAGTTAGCATACATTCATGTGTTTGTTTTATGCTTACTTATCCTTGCAGCAGACGAGGTCAGAGGAGGTCAGAATAAACAAGATGTTCTGCTGCTGATAAGATTAATTCTGAGAATATTGCAGTACCAACTTCAAAAATTCAAGAATTGTTTATTTGAATCAAAATGTATAACCCTAACCCTTAAAAATACATAGAAAACATTTATTTTGCAAATCAGACTTGGAATTCCACATTCCAAGTGTTGCTTTATACCTACTTATTATATCTTCCAGGTTTCCTTATAGGTCCCCTATTATACTATTTTTCAAAAATATATATTATAGGTCTCAGATATATACAAAACATGTCTTACATTCAGTTAATAATGAGTTCTTCAGGTGCTTGAAATATAGATGTCTGTAGGAGAAGGTGGTCTGTAGTGTAAGTATATATATATAATGTTCTCTAACCTCATCTTCCTGTCTGTAGTTTGCAGAAGTTGCCTGTGGTGATGTCACAGCAATGCTAAACGGATCCATCGTCACACCATTTCATCCTGCAAGGTGAGCATATTTTATAGTTCAATTCGACTTTTATGCAAACCTTATTTTAATATCTCACTTGCTAATGCTAATTCAGCAACAGTTTGTAAAGAAGAAGACATACTTTATTAATCCCCAACGAGGAAATAACTTTTTCCATTTTTTTCCACACATTTCGCAAACAAGCGTAATAGACAGATACAGAGGATATGCACAAACAACATGCAGAGTGATTAGTTTGCCAGTTAGCCAGCAGTTGGGGGTTTGTTGCCTTGCTAAAGGGCAGCTCTGCAGGGCCCAGGAGGTTAACTGGCACCTCTCCAGCTACCAGTCCACACCCTGTATTTTTCAGTCCGATCCAAGTCCCTACAGTCTGAGCCACTGCTGCCCCAATAATAAAATTGACCCCATTTTTTTTAAGTGAACAACATCTCAAAGCAAAATCAGACAAATGGGGATTCATGATTTATGGGCTCAAATGTATACTCCTAACTTTTTTTTCAGTTTGAATTTAATCACATAATATCCAGTTTCCATTACACGTTTACGTTACCTGAAGGCCAATTTAAGTTCTCACTGCTAAACACCGCACTGGACCCTAGAGAGCAGCATACTGGGAACTGCTGGAGTCCAAAATGTCCTATACCGAACGTTTACTAAAGCTTCTAGAAGGAGAATAGAAAATGAACAGCGAGTGCACACAGAGAGTTCAACGAGACCCTTTTACCAAAATCAAATCAAACACTTTACAACAAATACAACAGCAAAAATAAAAAAATAAAAACAAGATAGTCTTCTTCATATTTAACAGGGTGTGTAAACATGTTAACTTCAAGATAGGACTATAAACAATCTATGGATATCTGGAGTGGAGTCTACGCAGGTCAAGGACACTGCATTCTAAGAAATCTGTAAAACCCGATTGTCTGGTGTTATTTGTATTCTCAGAGGCCCAGGTCTCTTGTGACTTTACAGATCCCTATTTCCAATGCTGCTGTGGTTTTACAGATGGTGTAAAATGTTTTAATTGATGGGTAACAGCGGAACAGACTTCCAGGAATGGGCCATGTCAGGACACTGAAATCTGCTCAGAACATCTGAATGAATGCAATCCTTTTAGAGCAGGAGTGCCGGATAATTCAATGTCAGACCTTTCAATCATCATGGTTCTGCTCTGAATGTCTTAAATGTGATTGATTCAATATTTTGTTCTCTTTAAAGTTAAATATGAAGGCACTCTGTAGCAAGATAAACATTTCATAAAATAACTTGTAGTGGTGGTTATATATTGTGGGTTTGACAGTAATTGGATCTCCAAAAATGAAGCCTTTGACTGAGAAAACATATATATTATTGAGAATTATGTACAGAAACATATGTAATAAGTAATATATTTTTAAATAACCTTTACCATAACCCTAATCCGACATAATATCTGTTTCTTCTACATAACCAAGTACATTATTACTTTTGTTTTCAGTATTTTTGCGAGCATCGAGGTGAAGAGGTTCGACTACCCCAGGGTGAAAAGCCTGAATGTTGTTCTGGTCACACAGAACAAAACCGTGTAAGTGTTTTTCTGTTCATTTTAAATGTGATAAGTAAATACATGTTCTGTTTTTGCTTCCAGAGTGGTTTATTTTGTTGGTGTTCAACTTACAAATATGCAGAAAGTTAAACAGGTAAAGTTGTTCCTTAAGTCCTGTTTTCTGTATCCTCTTCAGGACCAACTGCACTAATGCATCTTTAAAGAATTTACAGAAAGAGCTGGATCAAGGGNGAAGTGTTGGACCAAATTTGGTGCAGGCTTTGCTTCTAAAAAGGCATTTGGCATCTGGAAAATGAAAACAGGGCATTTCACATAAAGAAACAATTTCATTTCAATTTAATAATGTCAATGTTGCAATTGTTGTTAAGAAAATATCATGGTTGAAAAGCAGCCTGTACAGCAAAATATGACTTGTCATTACGCTGTATGTCCACTAGACAGACAATTACAATGTGCAGCCAGGAAGTGGGCGAGTCATTGACCAAAGCTTTACTCTTTAATCTTTAGCATTGCATTTACTTTCTCTCATTGTCAGCCCTTTTTCTTATTCTTGCCCCTCACCCTCTTTATAAACAGGAATGTGAATAATCAGTATTTTAAAAGATTCCTCCTTTAATACACATTGGAATAATTAAAAGAAATGGAATACCTTACATATATTTGTATGATTATTTTGGGGGATCTGTAGTTTATTCTGAGAAGCCATGTTGAGTAGCTAAAATAAAGTCATAAATATATAGGAATGTATTTATTAGGATACATATGATAAATATTTCCATGCCATCAAATGTGTTGAGTCCAGGAAGACAAGCTTTAGGGTACAGCTAATGGTATCCTAAAAGACCTATAATAAATGCAGTCTAATACAACATTGCTGTAAGAAATTCCATCTCCATGAATTTTATAATATTAAATGTTTACAAAAAGTGCCAATTCAACCGTATAATAATTTACGAGGACATTGTTGTGGTGCTAAACTGTAATGCATGAAAACAGTATAAAGATGTTGTTTTTTAATCGTTAATGCATTATACAGTATGGACAGGAATTGTTATTATTGTGTCCACCGCATTGGTATGAGTCATGCAGGCTAAATAACAGAAACAGCTTTGTAAGTAATGCACTACAGTTCAACAGCACCACAACAAAAACTTTAAAAAAAACACAACTTTCTGAAAATGCTTTTTGCAGGTGTGTTGTATTAGGCTGCAGTAACCAAGTAAGCCCTGAACATATCTTACCTTAACCTTTTAAAACTAAAAAACAATTACTTCTTACTACTTTCGAACATAGAACATCTCTATTCAAATTCTTGCTTGAATGTTCTCTTCCCCAGTGTGATTCCAAACACAATGGCGACGACAATAACCAGAGAAGGGACAGCAGTTACAAAAATAATTTTCTTCTCCATTGTACTTTTCTTCTCCATTGTAGAGACTTTGAAAATGCCAAACTAGCAATGCACGTTGGGCTGTCTAACTGTTGTTTTTAAACTCAAGTGCATCAGCTCGTGGTTATCTGCTACCCTGACCCGTCGATGGCATGGACTCTACACCTGTGGTATCTGGCACCAAGACGTTGGCAGCAAATCCTTTAAGTCCTGTCATTTACGAGGTGGGGCCTCCATGGATGTGACTTGTTTATCCAGCATATCCCACAGATGCTCGATTGGATTGAGATCTGGGGAATTTAGAGGCCAAGTCAAAACGTGGAAGTCGTTGTCATGTTCCTCAAACCATTCCTGAGCCATTTTTGCAGTGTGGCATTGCGCCAGTGGCGGCTGGTGGAATTTTTTCTAGGTAGGGCTGTGCCACATGCAATGAATTTCAGCAAACATCCCAGTATGACTTAATGCAAAGAAAACTGGAGTTTTTATTGTTCATTTACCAGTCAGTAAATTATTTTTAAATCATATTTTACATATATTTCTGCGTGCATTCCATATTTTAAACACACAAATATGGACAATATATATAATTAATTATTATTATTATTATTATTAATAACAATATTAATGTTTTTGTGTGTGGTTTAGGGAGGGTGGCACCCTATCGCCCCCTATGGGCCAGCCGCCACTGCATGGCACATTATCATGCTCAAAGAGGCCACTGCCATTAGGTAATACTGTCTACATGAAGGGGTGTACTTGTTCTGCAACAATGTCAAAGTAACATCCCCATGAATGGCAGGACCCAAGCATCATTTTGCCCAAAGCAGCTCCGCCAGCTTGCATTCTTCCCATAGTGCAACCTGCCATCCTCTTTATGTAATAGAAAACTTGATTCATCAGACCAGGCCACCTTCTTCCATTGCTCCTTGGTCCAGTTCTGATGCTCAAATGCCCATAGGCGCTTTAGGTGGTGGACAGGTTCCAGCATGGGCACCCTGACCAGTCTGTGGTTACGCAGCCCATACGCAACAAACTGCGATGTTCTGTGTGTTCTGACAGCTTTCTGACAGAACCAGCATTAAGTGATTCAGCAATTGGAGCTACAGTAGGTCTACTGTTGGATCGCACCATACAGGCAAGCCTTTGCTCCCCATGCGCATCAATGAGCCTTCGCTGCCCATGACCCTGTCGCCAGTTCAATCGTTTTCCTTCCTTGGACCACTTTTGGTAGGTCATGATCACTGTAGACCGGGAACAGCCCACAAGAGCTTCAGTTTTGGAGATGCTCTGACCCAGTTGCTAACCATCACAATGTTGGCCCTTTTCAACGTCGCTGACATCCTTACGCTTGCCCATTTTTCCTGCTTCCAACAAATGAACTTTGAGGACAAAGTGTTTATTGCTGCCTAACATATCCCAACCACTGACTGGTGCCATTCTAACGAGATAATCAATGTTCTTCACTTAACCTGTCAGTGGTCATAATGTTATGGCTGATCGGTGTATCAAAACGGTCTGAAAATGAGCTGATCAGATTTTGGCCACTTCGTGATGTCTCAATGTTTTTTTGGGTTGTGCAACCATTAGCCAATAACCAACCAAGGTAACACCTGCCCACCTTATCACCTGAATCTCCTCCCACAGCACCATTGTGTTTTTTTAAACCAATCATTTCGCAGAGGGGTGGGGCTAACAGCAGCTCATTCGCAATTAAAGCTACAGACACAAGATCAGCACTTTTGAAACAGGGCTGAAACAGAGGGGTTTATTGGATGCTACAATGCACAATCTGTTATGTATTTCAAATCAAACACTTCAGAGACATGTTTTGTATATATCTGAGACCTATAATATATTGTTGAAAAATTGTATAATAGGGGACCTTTAAGAAAAATGCTAACATGCTAGGCTCTTTAATCAGATTAAACTTTAAACAGACTACTAGGCTACTACTTGGTCATAAACACGGACAACATGTGAATTATTTTAGCTTTTAACAAACAAACATTTGGCATGTCTATGGTTAACACTTTGGTAATAGTTTGTATTCATGTTAATTAATAGTAGATAAGTGTGTGTATCCTTAATATCAAAAAGTATTCAAAAGGTTTCAATGTAAACCTGGTGCCGTGGTGGTAGTGGAAATTACCAAAACTATGCTGATGTTTACCGACATTACAGTACTTGTCTCAGTACTCAACACTGAAATAACTGAAACGTTAACTTTAAATAAACAAGAAATTTTCTATATATATATATACACATGACATTTATATGTATTTATTTAACAATAAATAAGGAGAGCTTTCACCTCTACAGTAGGTATTTTTTCTGAAACCCTCAACTGCAACTCCTCATTAACTTAAAGTAGTCTTATTTGTGCAGACACAAAATAATCATAGGAAACAGCTATGTAAGTGCACCTTAAGTTCAATTCATAATGTATAATGTCCAATAGATCAATTTTCAAACCTTGTTGTACTGTTTGAATTCTATTTAACATCCTCATGGCATCAACATGTTGAATGCAATGATTTTGCTTTTAACAATCATGAATGAAACTGATACTAAGAATCTATGAACAGGGCCCCCTAGTGTTGAAAATGTACCTCTCACTAGCATTAGAAGCTTTATTTAACAGGTCAATAATTTTGTTTAAAATGTGCTGATGTGCAATACCTCTGGTTTACACAATACTGCAATCTGCACAATAATACTATTTGTTACACTTGTATTTTAATCCATATTCTTACACATTCAATCGTCAATCCCAACGTTTATATATTATAACGCACATATTACGTTTAATATAATTTCTCGATTTAATTTCTATTTAAGTTATTTCCATTTATATTCTAGTGTTGGATCTTAAAAGTATTTCTTATATCTCATGTAATAGTTCACACAACAACTTTAAATATATATATATTTTTTTTAATTTAAAAACATTTCTTACAGGTGGAAGCAAGACTGTCAGTCGAATTAGCTAGCACCAGATTAGAAAAAATATATATTTTTAAAACTGCATTGTCATTGACATTCACATAAAAATACACCTTTCACATTTAGTCACACTGGCACATAGGTACAACATAATTATATGTTGTGTATAATAGCACATTATTCCATTTACAAAGACTGTATTTTTACAGTAGGTTATTGTTTTGTTTACACAATATATTCTGATATTGAGTTCACAGGTCATCACCAACAGGCTCCACAGGGTTTCTCTGGATGGGAGCTGCAGTCCTGGATCTGGGTTCTGCATAGCAACAGTAACATGTATAGTCGTTATATGAGTATATTCATTTATACATGGGAACGTCCTCTCACACAAACATGCTGTACTTACTCAGTCACTTCCTCGCAGTTATATGTTATCCCTTGATCCAGCTCTTTCTGTAAATTCTTTAAAGATGCATTAGTGCAGTTGGTCCTGAAGAGGATACAGAAAACAGGACTTAAGGAACAACTTTACCTGTTTAACTTTCTGCATATTTGTATGTTGAACACCATCAAAATAAACCACTCTGGAAGCAAAAACAGAACATTTATTTACTTTTATATATATATATAATATATATAACCACCACTACAAGTTAAGTTTTAATGTATTTAATTTGTCTTTTATTATTTGTATCTTGCTGCAGAGTGCCTTCATATTTAACTTTAAAGAGAAAGAATAATATTTTGAATCAATCACATTTAAGACATTCAAAGCAGAACCATGATGATTGAAAGTTCTGACATGGAACTATCCGACACTCCTGCTCTAAAAGGATTGCATTCATTCAGATGTTCTGAGCAGATTTCAGTGTCCTGACATGGCCCATTCCTGGAAGTCTGTTCCACCGTCTCTCATAAATTATAACATTTTACACCATCTGTAAAACCACAGCTGCATTGGAAATAGGGATCTGTAAGGTCACGATTTCACCGTGCAAAACATGATATTTTATCAGAAATCAAGCCATACCATAAATATACTGACACAACATTCTTATTAACACTTTTATTTTCTCACATTTATTCATAAATCCCATATTTATCCTTATTATCAACACACATTTTATTTTTTTCCATATTTTAATGTTTTTTTATTTTATTAAACAATAATGGATTATTACGTTTATCAACATTTCTCTACGTATTTATTTCAATGACTTATTCCAAAATATTTCTATTTCTATTATAGAATAGGATCGATAATGTTGAGAGGTTTTTTTCAGATTGTTCTCATATAAAAGGCAGAAAACCTTACAAGCGAGATTGTCAATTGAACGTAATTAAAAAGCAAAAAAGATCGAAAACAGCATTGTCACTGTTAAAATAGGTCATTGACATTTACATAAAAAAAGAGTAATTTCACATGTTGTCAAACTCATACAAAAATAATGATACAGTATATTTAAATTACTGTATAATAGCACATTGTTCAATTTACAAAGACTTTTCAAAAATAAACTCTTGGCAAAATATTTGTAAGGCTTGTTGTGTGTCATTTTGTCACACAGTCCAATCTGATATTGAGTTCATCACCAACAGGCTCCAATGGGTTTCTTTGGATCGGAGCTGCACTTCTTGATCTGAGCTCTGCATTCAAATAAACAAATAACATGTCAATATATTTTGAGTATATACATGTATAAACATGGATGCTGTACTTACTCAGTCACATGTTATTCCTTGATCCAGCGCACTCTGTAAATCCTTTAAAGATGGATTAGTGCAGTCTGTCCTGAAGAGGAAACAGAAAACAGGACTTAAGGAACATCTTTACCTGTTTAACTTTCTGCATATGTGTGTGTTGTACCTCAAAAATAAACCACTTTGGAAGCACACACAGAACATTTATGACAAAGGTCAATAATTTTGCAGAAGTTTTAAAAACAAAGAGAAAATCTTACTTTTGAATGTTCTTTTGAGTGACCAAAACAACATTCAGGCTTTTCGCCCTGGGGTATTTGATCCTCTTCACCTCTATTGTTGCAAAAGTACTGAAAATGAAAAAATGTTTAAAAGGCTTGATTATTGGAGGTTAAAATGATTTCCCAACCAACAACCTGCAACCACAACAGCCAATTATATATTCCTCAACTATTAACCAAAGGAAAAACAGTACATTATTGACACATCTGCACATATTTGGGATTCAGAGAACCATGATCATTTAAAGCTCTGCTATGGACTACGGATGGAAATGAGCTCAAAGCTCAAATCCGGCATATTTACACTTGAAGCATTATTTGTCTAAAGTGTTCATTAATGTGCATTGTCCCTATTCAAATAAACGATTAAATGAAATGGAATTTTCCGACCCTAAACAAAAATGTGGGCAGCATTAGAGGTGCTCACCTTTCAGGATCAAATGGTGTGTCGATGGATCCGTCTAGCATTGCTGTGACATCATCACAGGCAAAATCTGCAAANGCAAAATATGATTTTTCATATTTTTTGAAATAACTGAAACGTTAACTTTAAATACATATAAATGTCATGTGTGTATATATATATAGACAATTTCTTGTTTATTTAAAGTTAACGTTTCAGTTATTTCAAAAAATATGAAAAATCATATTTTGCTGTACAGGCTGCTTTTCAACCATGATATTTTATGAACAACAATGGCAACATTGTATGCGATGTATGAAATTATTTCTTGATGTGAAATGCCCTGTTTTCATTTTCCAGATGCCAAATGCCTTTTTACAAGCAAAGCCTGCACCAAATTTGGTCCAACACTTCAGCATTTTCATCATGATGACGCTGATCCACTTCCCTGGCACTAAACAGCACTGATTTTATTTTTCAGGTACAACTGTACAGAGATATGGCATGAGTTTGTAAAAGCCTATGTGAACCGGGACCCTTGTAATATCCCCATGAATGCCTTCGACTCTTTAGTTGCTGTGGCGCCCTTTGAACATGCATGCGACAAAGTAAAAACCTTTCATCACAAAACTGTGCACATAATCCACTAAATGCATCTTTGGCAATGCAGATGAATACATATAATACTTTTGTTTTTTGGGTTAGATGATGTTCTGGAGTAAAACAAAGAATCTGGTCCGTGACTTAACTAAGAACAGGGATGATGTTGTCGCTTTGGAGGACACTCTGCTGGGATCTGTGCTGGGTGGTCTGCACTGGTGTGGAGAGAAGGGCAACAGTGGTAAGACACTTGCAAACCTTGTAATGGTGCGATTTAGTCCAGTTTAGCTTTTACTTTTTACAATACATATTAAGATTCTCACCAATGAGATATTTCACACATCACACATCATAGTTGGTATATTCTGCTAATACAATCTATAGGCACCCTTGTTTCATTCACTTTGTTGTCTTTTTTATTGATTGACTATGTTCTGTTTATTGTTTGGATCACTTTTTTTCTGCCTCAGTGTGGGTATGTAAAGCCGCTTAGTTTCCTGGACAGCTCATCATAGCAAATTCTTATCATTGAAAATCAAAAAAGATTGACTGTGTTGTTCTAGACACATTCACTTCCGGCTGCCCGGGGTGGAATGAATATGTGAACCCTCGTCACTCTTTTAGGAGCAGAGTCTCAACTGCTGTGAGTCATCAACAATAATTCACTGGTTTTGCAGTGGTGGGAAAAAGCTGAGCCTGTAAAACCCCAACTAATGGTTAACAACTAACTATCAGTGCTATGTTGAGAGGAAGGCCTTGCACTCGTTATACTACGAATGTGTTGCTATACCTTTTTTCTGTGCAACATTTTGTTGAGATAGAAAGACCTTTCAATAACCAGCAGTACATATTGGCAAGGCAAGTTTATTTATATGGCACCTTTCAACAACAAAGGCAATTCAAAGTGCTTTACAAAAATGAAAGACATTAAGAGCATTAAGAAATAGTGCAGCGGAAACACATTATTAATTGGCATTAAAAAACTGTTATAAAAAAGCAAATAGAATCAAATAAACATAAAACAAGCTAATATATATAAAAAAATAATTAAAGGTACAGTGCAGTGTGAGATATGAATAGTTTAAATATAAAAAAATAAACCAAATTCAGCTGATTGTACGGGAGCTTCTACTGCATAGATCATAAATGTCACAAGGAAATTGTTAGTCTGTAGTATAAATCTAAAATGTACTCTAATGTTATTTTCCTGTCTGTAGTTTGCAGATTTTGCCTGTGATGATGTCACAGCAATGCTAGACGGATCCATCGACACACCATTTGATCCTGAAAGGTGAGCACCTCTAATGCTGCCCACATTTTTGTTTAGGGTCGGAAAATTCCATTTCATTTAATCGTTTATTTGAATAGGGACAATGCACATTAATGAACACTTTAGACAAATAATGCTTCAAGTGTAAATATGCCGGATTTGAGCTTTGAGGTAATTTCCATCCGTAGTCCATGGCAGAGCTTTAAATGATCATGGTTCTCTGAATCCCAAATATGTGCAGATGTGTCAATAATGTACTGTTTTTCCTTTGGTTAATAGTTGAGGAATATATAATNGGGTCTGTAGTTATTTTCTAAGTAAAATCATTGTTGGACGCTTGTTTTTGTGACGACACTGTTTTGCGACGGACTATTTTGCGACGACTTTGAAGGTCTTTTGAGTAGACTAAGGTCACCTTTGCCCATAGCAGACGAGTTATGAAGTAGTGTGTCGGTCACATATAAATATAGCGAGTGTATAAGGTATGTTTATTTTTTATTGGAAAAGATTTTACTAGTAATGTGACAAATTCAAATCAGATAACAAACTTATGCTCAACCAAGAAGAGAAAATTACACACAACTATAGTTAAATCCCGAGACGGAAGTTATGTAGTTTTTCTGACGATTTATTCGTTCTAATAACCCATCTAAGATCTGGTCTTGAATGCACACACACACACACATACACACACACACCACGACACCACACACACAACACACACACACACCACACACCACACACACACACACACACACACACACACACCCACACGCACACACTCCACACACACACACACACACAAACGCACACACACACACACACACCACACACACACACAACCTCGAGACGGTAATGAGACCAAACTCGTCCTACCCTTCGGACGTCACCCAAAAGGACGAGTGTGGTCCCCACTGCGCTCTCACAACGAAAGTTGGCGACCAAACCCTTTAGGGATATGTGTGTGTGTACGATGATACACTGAGAGAGAATATTTGTGAGTTTGTTTTTGCCTCTACTGTGACATGTCTCCATGCTTTGATGTTCAAAAAGCTGTTTATTTGTCTCATACTGCCTCTTTTCACCCTCCTTCTGAAACCAGACCCCAGTCTGCTCTGATTGGTTAGCTGGCCGGCTCTGTTGTGATTGGTCGACCAGCTTAGAGATGTCCCGCCCAGAGGTTGCGCTAGACTTTTTCGCTGCCCATCATTTTAACGGACAGGATCGTAACATTTCCGTCAAAATCTAGTATTACCCGTCGGTATTTACACAACTCTGACGAGGGGGGGGGATTTGTACGGCAAAGTTAGGTTTGGAAACTGTATCATTTCCTTTTTGGAGGGCATGCATAACACGGCATAACACCGGAGCCTCGCTGCGGGGAAACTGTTGCACTGAGTCTGACGGCTTTCAGATTTTTCATTGTTAAATCAAATCTGCCACATACGGAAAATATTCGGTTAACGCGACCTCTGGTCCCGCCCCTTAGCCTATCACGTACAATGTGTTGGAGCGCTAGCCAATAGAAGCGCGAGTGTTCTGTAGTCACTTTGCTCCGGAAGTGGAGTCCAATGGAGGTGGAAGCTGGTGTTGTAGAGTCACAGACTGAAGCTTTTCTGTTTTTTTTTTACTTTCTTTTAAAGGATGAACATATGCTGATCCTCTCACATTAAAATCTACTTCCTGCTCTGCATCCCACACATAATTACGTGTTTCCAAACCTGAGGCGACGACAAAACTAACAATCAGCAGAAGTTCAGCTGATGCAGCTTCTCTCTCTGTTACAGCTCCTGCTTTAACTGTTCCTTTATTTGTATTGCGTTATTGAGTAATTACAGGACAGGGGAAGACATGAACAGTGTCACATTTACAGATAAAATACCTTATAAAAGGAAAACAGAGAAAAATGACATTACACCAGATAAACCAACTGAGTACAAGATTCAAGGTTTAATGGCAACACTTAAGTCAAAGGCTCCTCCAACAGAGCAACATGAATATATATAGGACATAAAACAAATTAAACCAATACAAATAGTGAAAAAATAACAGAATAGAAATAAAAGAGTACGAGAGAATGTTTTAAGATGTGCAAGTAAATACCAATAAAAGAGAAATGGTGCAAGAAGAGTCTATATACAAGTAAATAGAATATGATATATAGATAAATAAACTGCAAGATACAAACAGATAAATGTTTATGTTAACACCGGTATGTTGTATGTTTTCTGTAAACTTGATATGAAACGTAGCATTTTGACGTATTTGAAATGGTGACGTTTACCGTATTTGTGTGTTTTTAAAAAAAGTACAAAATAAACATATTTTTTTTACTTTTGGACACTTATAATTCAGTTATACAGCATCCATGGTTTAAGAGTTTCTAAAGCCACTTCCGATTTATGGGGGTATGATTTCAATGCACAAATAATCCAGAACGATAATCCATTGATTTTTCATTTCACCAAACATCCCTCCTTCTGAGTGTGTTGGTTGAACTGGCTAAAAACCAACAAACCTAATTTCATGGATGTATAAGTACTGGATACAGCAGTGTAGAAGCTGCTGGGACTCCCAGCAGCTTCTACTGAAGCCTTCCGAGTAAATCGCCAGAACGCCGACACCTCCTCATCTCCACCGCTCCCATGTTTTCTTTTGTGTTGCCATAAATTAGTCTCTCTCTGTTGGTGCGCGGGGCTAATGCTAACAATGTTGATGCCAGCAAATACAATGGCGGCTTCAAAACTTTTCAGAGTTTTACGGGGCGTGGTTTGCAATTCGTCCAGCCAATCAGAAATTGGTACTTTTTTCTCCCCAGGATAGTACCACCTCTCTAGCAGGCGCTAAAAATGGGGGTAAAAGTTCTCTGAACTAAGTTCTCTTTTTGGTGTGAACGCAAAATTCCAGGCACTAACGGGAATAAACGGGAAAAGTTTGAAAAGTACTCCGGTGTGAAAGCGCCTATTGTTAGTCAATGGGGGAAAGTCTTTCTGGGACCAGTGACGTCACGGACTGATACGGAAATTGTAGTACCGCCGTTTGGACACAACGAATATTTTCATTAGAGTCCGCCGCACTTCCTGGGGGCTTGCCTAATATAGCAAACAGGAGACCAAGTGGTGTCAAGAAANGTGTGCCTTGGCAGTCTCAGCGTTTGGACACAACGAATATTTTCATTAGAGTCCGCCGCACTTCCTGGGGGCTTGCCTAATATAGCAAACAGGAGACCAAGTGGTGTCAAGAAACATATTCAGGGGCTAAACAACTAAGGTGAGTCGATAAATATTCAACACGTAATATCTGTAGGCCGTGTATACTAATAAAACAAAACATTTTAAATCAGAAACAGGTTTATTAGCAGGTAGGTTAACACATACAAGGAATTGTTGTTGATGTCGTGGTGCATACATAGAATAAAACACAGATTAAATACACAGCTAGAAAACTATTTGAAGAAAACTATAATACCATTAAAAAATATAGTAAAAAATAGCAGTGTTTACATTGAATATGGTTGTAATCCTAGAAATAGAATTGAATAAAAATATGTACAGTAATACAAAACAAGATAGTGTGTGCTTTAATGTCTTATTACTGCACATTTCTTGTTATTAAAAGAAGTAAAAGAAAACGAAACATATAATAATAAACTCAGGTAATGGCTCCCACAGCATCACATATTAAACTGGAACATTATAAACTTTATAAATGAAGTATTTATGTATTAGTTGCTCTAGTTTAGAGGATAAGGTGACAAAGGACTGAGTTGAAAACACTGACTCAGCCTCTAGTGGCCGCCAGAGGAACTGCAGCTGAGACAAATTTATGACTTTTTTTAACTGAACCTTTAAAAGTCAAGGGTTAGCAGAGCTGTGTGCTTTAAAGAGCTTCTGTGCAGCTCCCTATTACAGCATGTATTACACTGAGAGCTATAAATCGGCAGTGTTCATGTTGTTTCCTTTATTATAGTGCACGTAATGAGACAAGGCACAGGGAAAAATGATATGAAACTACATAATCCAGCGTGAAGCAAATGTAATCCTGCAAAAAAATCCTTATAATTCAGTTAATTATGGCGATTATTGCATTTGAAATGACATTTTAAAGAAAGGCTGTGTGTAAAATGATTAACGCATAAAGACGAAGCTAAGAGAGAGACTCATGTTGGATGAAAAAAAAACAATATATTTTCAGCAATAAAGAAATAGTGTGATCCAGTTTAATCTTGCAAAACACATAGACAACCATCCTTACAGATTAAATGTTGTTCATGCATTCATTTAGTTAATTAATGCATTAAAAGGCAGCTTTAGGACATTGAGAATATACGGCTAATGTTAGATTTAACAAAAAAAACATTTCTCTTGCAAAAACCCTGTAAATAAAATATAAAATAATCCACTGTGAATTTAATGTCATCCTGCAAAACACACAGACATCCATCTTTATAGTTTATAACTCGATCATGCAATAACGTTGGGTATAAATGCCTTTCAAATTCAATATAATAATTTTATTCGGGTATTAGACCAAATGTAACATTGATGCTCGTATTGAAGTTCAAGCATTTCTCCTATCCTGCAAAAAGGACACATTGCTATACATCAGAGAATCCAGTTTGAAGAACTGCAAACATCATAAACAGCAGTCCTTACAGGATACAGGTCATGCATGTACATGTGTGTAAGAAATCCAGTGAGAAAGCCAATTAAATCAACAATCCTCAAATCCTAATGAATGCATGTTAATGGAACTTTAAAAGGCCGCCCAGTGAGTCTCATATTGGAGTTGAGAACATTTCTCTTCCTCATGCAAACAGAGCTGTCTGTCATAATGTCCCAAAGTATTAAAACATGTCCGTCAGCCATCCCTCCTCTCCTCATATTTGTGTCTCTCCTCTCTCCTCTCTAATGTCACACTGTAAAACATATCCACCAAATAATCCAGTTTGAAGCCAATGTAATCCTGCACATCATATACTTATTATCCTTATAGGCTATAGGTCATGCATGCAATTTGAATGGCACCAATCCAGTGTGAACTG